GGTCATTGCGATATGCAAATTTCATTTCTTTAAGTTTCGTTATCGTTTCAGAAGATTTGTTGGTGTTTTGGGTGGTTTTGATCATTTTGAAGTAGTTTCATGAATTAGGCTAACTTGGTGATTGGATGTGTGAATTCTGGCATCTAATTAATAAGGCTTTTTGTCACCTTACAATTATTAATATTTTTTAATTAAAAAACATTTTTATTAACGTTTTTATTGAAATTTATGAATTTTTGAAGTATTTATTAATATTTAATTATAATAACTTGTGAATTTTTATCGAAGTTCATGAATTACAATGAAAAATGTCAGAGTGTGAAGAGAATATTAGCAAGAGGGAAGAAAATTTCATCGATTTAATTAATATATTGTAATGAAATCCAGAACAAAATTCATTTAGCTGTATTGTCTATTTTCTGATAATTATTCATCTCAATTGCATCCGTACATTCGATTGTTTTCGAATAGATAAACGATATTTACTTCTAAAAGTTCCAATTAATTCAATTCTAATAGTCTATTATAAAATAAATTAAACAAATTCTTTAAATCTATTATTTTCGCCAATTAATTTTTATCGTTCTGTTTTCAATCAACCACGGTAGGAAATAATTAATATTTACTTATTTTTTAATTACTATTGATACGAAATTGAGAAAATAATTTGTATAATCTAAATAGCGTTGTGTTTAACACTTAAATTAATATCATAATATTATTGAATATATAGTTAAGATATAAATTTATGAGAAAAACAAGTACATTACGGAACGGTTTCTCGGTTTTAGTTATTTCACATCTGTGTTTCAATTTCCCAAAAATTCGAGCAATCCGTTTGGTGGCCACTGAACCACGAAGCCCATCAAAGATCTCGATCCGGTCTACGGATGAGTGGAGAGAATTGGAAGACGAGAATCGAGCAACCTATCTTCGGAAGACTCCATAATCCATAGGTTCGCGGGGAGTAAATAATACAGTAGGTCCGGTGGTGGTTTGGCTGAACCGGATGTTGGCCAGAGGATGAAACCACTCCCGTACATCCGGCGAATATATGAAATTCTCTTCTGCTCGTTGCTCAACGCAGAAGATTTTTCAGAAATTTTCCTTCGTTCCAGTTATAAACTGTATTCCCGATTGTTTATTTCTTGGTCTTTCAATCCCAAGTTCATATTTATTTTTCTATGAATATTAGACAATTTATAAATGATTCACTTTCTTGGCCATAGATTATTGTCGAAAATCGGATAAATAATAAATAATAAATAATAAGCGTGGAATATTTTTGTTTTAAAATTAGGGTTAATAATTTCGGTCAAACTCATATTATATTTTGTAATATCATATTATATTTGTAAAATTTGTGATTATATATAGGTAGCCTATTCTAATAGGTAAAAATCTATTCGGGTCATTTTGTTAATTATTTCATATTTGTATCTATATTTCTTTATTATTATTTTATTATTTGTCGTTATACTATTATTAGACCATTACACTGAGTATAATCATTTCTCCATAACAATTAGTATTCAACTTTTCAATTGAGCTTTTCAAAATACCAAAAACTACAGCCAAATCATATTCTTATCAGAATTACTCTGAACGAAATTAGCAATTATTTCACCACTCAGAAAACTCGCAGAAAACTCGCTCTTCACTTGCATTCCATACAGTCATAAATATCCCGTTCATCCGATCCTTGCACGCGGTCACTCGCCCTTCCACGCACTTCAGAGGACACTCTAAACATTCAGTCTGAACCCTAGGTTACTGTCTATTACCCGTCATCAGCTAAGTAGGCCCAAGGGTTCCTTTGCACTAACTTTCACACTTACTATTCCTACATTTATATTAAAATCTAGAAAATGAACATATCTATCAGTCCACTTTCTTAGTATATCACCGTAAACTATAGTGCCTAGTCCAAGACTCACACTTCGTTGCAAAAAACTGCAGAAAATTGCAAAGAATTGCAGAGAATTGTAGAGAATTGCAGAGAGTTGCAGGGAATTGCAAAGAATTGCAGAGAATTGCAAAGAGTTGCAGGGAATTGCAAGGAATTGCAGAGAATTGCAGAGAATTGCAGGGAATTGCAAAGAGTTGCAGGGAATTGCAAGGAATTGCAGAGAATTGCAGGGAATTGCAAAGAGTTGCAGGGAATTGCAAGGAATTGCAGAGAATTGCAAAGAGTTGCAGGGAATTGCAAGGAATTGCAGGGAATTGCAGGGAATTGCAGGGAATTGCAAGGAATTGCGGAGAATTGCAGAGAAATGTAGGGAACGTCTGAAAATTAATCGTCGTCACCTAATTTCGACGCTCTACTGTCAAATAATCCCTGTGTCGCGATACCTGTGACGCTGGTAGCGAACGTAACACCTTATCCTCGATACAAATCACCAGCGCAAACCAAGACATGGGCGGGTCTGAGCCTGCGAGGAGCGCTGTATCGGCGAAAGACCGTGCGAAGGATTTCCATAAATATTCGTCAAAGGGGTCCCTTTCGCTGTGCTAGGTAGTCTTTTCTTCCTAGCTCGCGGCGTGATCCTGCGGGACTCTTTGATCTGCCATTCTGTCTCTCTGAGCGGATGACTGGCAGAGCCACTCCCTTCGCCGGAGCTTATGAATTATCTCGCAGCGAATGTATTTTCCTCGCTATATAAGGTCGCCATACTTCCATCCTGCGCACCCACCACGGGCTTTCCTTGGCTGAACCTCGCGATCGGATCTGGCTGCGCGCGATCCAGCTCGCGGATCCTGTTTATCGTCGCGCTTCCTTTGAGGGATCTACCAGTGGAATTAGACCCGGGACCTGGTCCTGATTTTGTTACCTCTGAGAATCGACGGTTAAACGTGTTTACGGAGTTGGAAGGATTTTAATAATCCACCTTGGGACTAGTGTAACAGGCAAGAGCTCGGGTACCTGCTAGAAAGGTTTAGGGATGTGGGTTGGGAGCATGGTTGAATAAGAAGACCAGAGAGGCTTGTTGAATTTCGGTTAGTCCTGGTCTCGAGTTTTTACTCTTTTATCTATTTTTCCTTCTCTGCTTTTGTGGGTTGTGGGTCGTTGATGTGGTAATAAATGATATAGATTTTTAATATATATATTAATATATAAGAGTATATAAGATATATATGTATATATACACATACAGCAATCACCCTTCACTTCTTCTTATCTAATACTATTCTCTTTATTATAATACATTTTGCTATTTTTTCTTGCTATTGGTCCTTATTGAGATTGAAAAGTAAGTGTGTATGCTTGTGTCATATTCTTTGTGACATCTTAGCAGTTAGTTATTCCTTCAATTTTCTAGTACTAAGGTTAGGTGAAAAGAAAAAATTTAAAATTTTATTACAGACTTTTAAATTAAAAAGTTTTAAATTATGGAGTTTATTTAATTATAAAAATTAACTATAGTGTTTTAAAATTATGGACTTGTAAGAAATTATGCTTATGTTAATTATTATGATCTGTGTATAGTATATTTTCTGATAATAATACTTAATTATTGTATTTAATTATTATACCATATTTAGATACTAATGTTGTTAATACTTAATCATTGTACTTTATTTTAGTACTTAAATACTAAATTTCGATATTGGTTTACTGTTCTATAAAAATTACTAATTATAATGTCAGATCGTTGGCTATTAGATGAATTTTCCTATTAGATGACTATTAGATGAATTTGGAATTTTATTTAGATGCTGATTCCTCTGATTTCGTCAATTATTTCTCTAGGATATGTTGGAACATACACGTGCGATATATTGTATATCTTGTGGAAAAATAAAATCGTTTAAACGCTTCATGGCGCATTTAGTAATTAACGTCGTTACCGTGTCGATAAAAGTATTGAAAATTTTACGAATATGACTATATTTAATTTAAATACTTTAATTGATTTAAGCTCTGCTGGTCACAAGCGACCACGCTAGTTGCCATGTTGAATTTATAAAATTAAAAATGAAAATATTCGAGTGCATACTTGTACACGTTTTAGTTCAGGTTATTAGCTTGACATTGATTGAACATACAGAATTGTAAATATAATTTTTATGGTATGGTCAACGAGATGGATACGTTTTTATGATCGCTGAACTACATTAAACATACCGGGGACTAAATTTTTATTTGACATATTGTGAAAGTAATTGATGGTACGAGTGGTTCGTTCAACTGAATTTATTTTTTTAGGGATACTGAAGTATGTGTGTGTCGTGTATGTTTTTCTTTAATCCAAGAATTTTAAAAAATATAAAGCTGAGAGTAATTACTTCTGAGTGTGTGAAATGATTTCATATGTGTATATCGTAATTGAAAAACAAAAATTCGTTATGATTTTTTAATTTCTTCATAAATCCATATGGAGTGAAAATTTTTGCATGATTTTATTTATTGAACCCTAAGGAACAGTATCACGATTCGAAAACTCCATGCGAATTAATGTTTAATACTAATATTATTTATACTACGTATAGTGCTATAATATTATACTATTAATAGCAAGGTATATTATTATACTATTATGTAATAGTTTACTATTATTTGTTATTAAATAGTATATTAATACTATATTTTTATAATTATATTATGTATAGTAATGTATATTATTAATATATACTATTGTTTTACATACAAAGATGGTATATAATGCAAACCTATTAATTATTCTTAAAATTTTCGGTTTGGGATTAATATTATTTAAATTTATTTGGATTGTTATTACTAAATATTATACTATTAATAGCAAGATATATTATTATATTGTTTTGTTATAGTTTACTATTATTTGTTATTAAATAGTATATTAATACTATATTTTTATTATTATATTATGTATAATATAATAATGCAAATCTGTTAATTGTTCTTAAAATTGTCAGTTCGAGATTAATATTATTTAAATTTATTTGGATTCTTATTACTAAATTGTATAAAAATCGAAATATCCGAAATACTAAATTTTGATTATTCTTTGTTGTTTCAGAGGGGCAGCGACGAGCTTTTGTCGCAAAGCGGAGCAGTTAGCAATGGTGCTGCAATGAGTCCTCAACCACATCACGCTGCCGACAACAACAATGACGCCAAGAAGGTGAGTGATGACAAATTTTGCTTAATTATATTTTTATTTTCTCATTTGTGTCTCGAATTTATCGAACTCTCCCATTGATATAATTTAATTATTATTATAGACGTGTTCAGGAATCTCATTTCAGATTTATTCCAAAGTTCATTGAATATTCGTAAAATTTTAGATTTTGAAATTCCAAAAAAATACATAGATTCAAAGTGATCGTATAAGTTTTCACCCAAAGTATTGGTTAGGAATCTAAAAAAGTGCTGGTAAATAAAACTCTATTTTACCATATGTTCTTCGTTGTACAGAAAAATATAATATTCTGATTCTGTTAATTTCGTGTCAAAATTTTTCTTAGGAAAGGTGTGTTTATTCTATCTAAAGCAAAGTCTATTCTTGAACATTCAATTAAGATTCTATTCTTTCCTTCAATTAAAATTCCAAATTGCAAGGTAGAATATAACATCATCCTCAAAAGTTAACAGAATATTAATAATTATTTCAATATTTTAAACTTCCTTTCCTACAAAATAAAACCGTGGAACAAAATTCTCGTGGCAATAGGATAATAATTTCTCTGAAGTGAAAATTTCATCCTTAATCTTGAGCTTTATTCAAGTAAATTTCTTTTATTCGTTAAAAATTCTCCTTAAAAATTTTCTCTTTTTTTTTTAAAAATTAATTCTCTTTTTAACAAAGATTTCTCTCTCGGAAGAAATTTTACCACGAAAGATATTTTTCTTTCAACAAAAAGTTTCTCTAAAAATATTCTTCTCCTCTCTGATTTGGGTAATATCATTTTTCCACGGAACTACTTTATTTTCTTTTCCCTTTTCCAACTTCACGATGGACAATGAGAACAGGAAACCGGCCTAGGTCTAACGAAAATTCGGATGCACAGGTGCATTTGAAACTGGAGCAGATAGCTGCCGGGTCCTCTGACCTACTCGATCTTCCACGATCGGCGAAAAATTCCGTCAAAAGGCTGAAAAATTCGCCAAAGCGACCGGATCGCTTTTCCCTCGTGAAAATCGTTATTTTTCAACTCGTTCCTATTCCGGCTCAGGTTAATTATTCCAACATGGTTAATCCGTCTTTTCTAACCACCGATCAAGCACGATTTATAGAAATTCGAGGGTAGTTCGAGAGCTGGGAATGGTCGTTGAATAAGAATTGCTCTTTCCTGCTTCATTTTCCGAATATACTAGAATTTTTATCGCAGTAGAGAGTGCTTCGCATGGATTTGAATTCTTGCACTTTCTGAAGAGTTAAAAGAGTTGTATATTGGTGAAATAAATAGGTTAAAATAAAGGTAGGTTTGTTAGTCCTATTACGGATCTTAAATTGTTTACCTTTTCTCTAAATTTTCTATTTTTCTCTCCTTTTTTGAATACTTATTTTATTTCAATTACTATTAAAAATTTGTATTAAAACAAATTTTTCTTAACGAATATTGTTCGTTATATGTCATATAACTGTTTTATTATTTATTTATTTATATTTTTTACTTATTTTTTCTGGTTTTGTATTTTAAAGAAACATGAAAATTATAGTGACCATGATAATCAAGGAATACTTATGAATGTGTGATATTTTTACACGTATGATCAGTGTTTATACGCAATATCTATATATATTTATATTATTTCTCCTCCTTTTTTAGCAAAATAAATTAAAAAGGCAAAAATGCGTCGAAAAAGAAGAATAAATTTTTGTCATTTGAGTTTTCGTTTTCGAGGAAAGTGAGTTCTAAAATTCGTGAAGTAGGCAAGCTTGTTATCGAACTCATCCAATATGGCTGCCGATGGCGCGTTGACACCTGCTATTTTAAACTCAATTTTCTCGGAAGCGAGGTCTCAAATGAAAAAATTTTATTCTATATTTTCGACTCACTTTTACGTGTAAAATCATCTCCGCTTCATCTCGAAATATTCGGCTTATGTACCGAATAATTAGACGAAATTAATCGTTATTTATATCGCGTTTTATGCGAAGTTAATCGAGGTATACTCAGTGAACTGGTTTTATTCGTTTTCAAAAAACACGTTTGAAAATATGTTCTCCGCTTCGCTGAAAACACAGCAGACAGGATTAACCAATCGTTCCATGTCCGTGTCAAAAAAAAATCGTATCTATTTTTCACTGTCCCCGTGGAAATTTCGAACTATGACAGCTTTGCAAAAATATCACTCGTCAGTCATACCGGCCCCAACGATACCAATTTCGTTTCACGTTCGCGAGATAGTAATGTGAAAAATCACGGGAAATTGAAATACTTAACAGAAATTAACGGGTGAACCGCGACTAAGCAGCCAAACATTCATCCTGGTCCGTCATGTCGGCCGCAAAAACTGATAACAAATTGTCCTGGCTCGAGGAAAATTAATCGAACACACCTGTTGTTCGCCAGCTCCCCGAAAGCAACATTAATTATGCTACATCCTTGACTAACTTTTCTGAAATAAAACCGACCATGTGAGGAAAGAAGTCTTGTCATTAATAGTGCTACATATAATTTAATCTCTATCATTATTCAGTCCCTAGTTTAGAAATAAGACTGCGAGCTCTGCTGCTACTGACAATGAGTAGAATAGGTCAAACATTTAAATAGTTATTAAATTTTCCACACATTTTCTGATAGCAAAATTAATTGTTTCATGTAACCAAAATATTGAAATCTTCAAAAATAGCAATTCTGTTGATTTTATCATAAACTTCGTGATGATCGCTACCCTAAACAATTTAAAAATAAGACTGTGAGCTCTGTTGCTACTGATAATTAGTAGAATAGGTCAAACACTTAAATAGTTATTAAATTTTCCACACATTTGTAACTAAAATATTGAAATCTTCAAAAATAGCAAATTCTGTTGATTTTACCATAAATTTCGTGATGGTCGCTACCCTAAACAATTTAATAATAGGACTGTCAGCTCCGTTGCTACTGACAATAAGTAGAATAGGTCAAACACTTGAATAATTATTAAATTTTCCACACATTTTCTGATAGCAAAATTAATGGTTCCATGTAACTAAAATATTAAAATCTTCAAAAATAGTAAATTCTGTTGATTTTATCACAAACTTTAGGATGGTCGCTACCCTAAACAGGCAACAGAGGTCTAGAATTGGTCTTCCATTAGTCTTCCAATCTTCTATAGTGATGAGCTCAGGCAGGTTCTAGTTAAGTCAGCATTGCACTGGATTTAGAATTGCAAAATCTATCTAAAATATTTATAAAGTTTCAGTAACTGAGGTATAATGGAAATAAATTAACTATCTTTTCTAAAATTTTTGTGCAACGATCTGAGCATTTAGCTTCCATTCACTCTGACCGTCATAATTCAGTTCAAGAATTTTTCTTCCATACTCCAGACTTTTGTAACGATGAAAATCCAGTAGTATAACCCCAGTCGTACCCAAGAAATATTCTTTACCACAAAAATTTCGATTTTCGTGCAGAGGTACTCTGATTTCCCCTTAACCTCTGTTGGATCGCGTGACATTCCGTGGAAAAATGCGTCCTTGTCTGTAACCGAGTGGGCAAAAGGGAAAATTTCCGCGATGTCGACCACGGGGGTGGGTGGCGGGGGGAAATATTTATTATTGTCAGTCACGCGTGACGTGGGAGGAACGAAAAAATGTCGGAAGTTTAGGCGGATAGAGGCAGCTGTGTGCTCGTAAGCTCTGCGGATGATGCACGTGCACCGGGTGCATCAAAACTTGCAACCCTCGTTAATCATTCGCCTGCACGGGTGGAAAAAGGAAGGGAAAAAAGGGCGAGGGTTGCACGCCGCGGGATGGTTCAAGGATTTTGATTCTTGTCTCCTGTGCTGCTGATTCTTGACGCTGAGCTGGCGAGGGTTACATGGACGGTGTTGTTTAAGATATTTTATGTCACGTTTCACAGTCGATGGTAATTAATATTAATAATAATTAATAAAATTAATAATAATAATTGTTCGTATTGTTAATAATAATTGTTATATTGTTAATATAATTGTTCGTATTAGAAATAAAAAATTTATCCTAAAAATATACTGTATTTTTTTTTAAATAGAAATCAACTGATTATTTATTAATATTTTTTTTTTAGTATAATTTAGGATTTTAACAGAGGTCGTTATTTAGGATTGGAAATAAATTACGATTGGAAGTAATAAAAAGTATGATGAAGAAGGTAGAAATATTTATACAAAATTTTTATTTAGTATTGTATCTTGTTTTAATAATTAAATTTTGTATAACCAAAATCTTGTTCAATACTTCAACGTTTAAATTTGTGTTTAATGTTAAATTTCTTTATATTTACAACATTTACAAAATACATTTGCTACTTATCTCAAAATTTATTTTATATATCACTGGATACCATAAGAGCAGTTCGAAATAATAATTATTATGTTATTAAATTAAAATCTATCGTTAAATACAAATTTAAAGATTAAAATATTGAACAGGATTTATGTTAGGTAATAATTATTTAGAATTGCCCTTATGGTGATATCTAGTGATGTTTAAAATTAATTTTGAAATAAATAGCAAATGTATTTTGGAAATATTGTAAATATTCTTAATATTTTAAATATATAAAATTGGTATGTACATATATGACATCACTTTCGTCATGAGACTATAAAAAATAAAAATACTACTTCTTTATACAAGATTTAATTTGCTTTGAAATTATGGAAATGAAGAATTTAAAGATGAAGGCATGAGGAATTTTAGTCCATATAAATAGTATTATTCTCGAAAGGTCTGTATAAATTTAGTTCTCGAAAAAAAGGAAATTATAAGTCAAATTCTCAGAGGCAACTAACAATTTCGTGCTTCTTCCGTGGACCCACCAAAAGTAGGTACTCGAATAGAATGTCGAGAAACGTTTCGCCAGCGTTGCAAGCTTCATTAAGGGCAACAAGACATACTTTAGCATACCCTTAAGGTATTAATTTATCATGAAGTCGAATATTTTTGACAACGAGCTTGCACGAATTTAATTCATCGACAGAAAA